TGTAATGTGTCTTCATATGTATCTTCATATTTGAATTTACTGATTCATTTTACAGAAAGAATTAGGAGTATCCGCGTCATATATAAATATAGTATCAAACTTTAAAAAGAAAATTTTCTTTTATTTTGATATGATATCATTGAATAAAAACTATTTTAGCTACCACAAAATATAGGTATCTTCTCTTAAATAGTCGGGTAGATTTATTTTTACTTTTTCTAGCCGGCATATATATATAATATATTGATTGCACATGATCGTACACATTACAAATGAAGTATACATAAATAATATATTATATACTCTACCGTTTTTTTTTTATAGTTTAATCAATTGGATAAACAACTATCTATGCTAATTCTTCAAAAATAATCTTAATTGCAAATTTTTGCTACATTTATTTTCAAAACTAAATATGTATGTAATTTTTAAAATATCATTAATATGGGAAACACGCGCAATGCGCGTGCACGAAAACTAGTACAAATAAAAACATGACTATATTTGTTGACCGTATATATTTGATTTTTTTTTCTTCTTTTAATCTTCCAAAGATCACCTCAATCTTGTTGGTTAGCCTAATTACTCTCCATAGTTATAGTTTGATAATTACAATTCGTAGCTACATGTTATAGGGAGGAGAGAGGCGAGCGAGAGAGGGCAAAGAGTGGGGAAAGAGGTGAGTTGTATATGTATATCAGTTAGATAATTGTATATTATACATATGTATTTGTATATATGGCAAGCGAGATTGGGAGAGGGAGGAGAGAGGAGAGCGAGAGAGGCAGAGAGTGGGAGGAAGGTGAATTGTATATGTATATCGGTTAGATAATTGTATATTATACATATGTATTTGTATATTCTGGCGAATTATATATATACAAATGTGACTAATTATACAAACTTGAAGTCAGCCCACGTAATTAATGTATAATGTTAGTTGAGAGTGGTAATTATAGCAAACTATAACTATGATGAGTAATTAAGTAGTATAAGTTTGCTTAACCGCGTAATTTTTAGCATTGAGTATTGACTATTGTGATAGTAATTGGGCTGGTGATGATGAATTATTATTTGGATTGATAAGTCAAAAAACAATAAACACTATTGTCTTGATCCAACAATCATTTAGGAAAGTGAAAAAAAAAAAAGGATTTTGGTTCAGGTTGAAGATCAAAGCTTGTAAGTATCGACAATCTGTTGATGTATCGATTCTTTTCGAAAATACTCAAGCTTCTCTCTATCTAGATGGCATGGATTGCTTCAGTGAAGATTGAAGACCATTCTGAAAAGTATGGCAGTGTGAGTGTGATCTCCCTTTCCCATTATGAGTTGCCCAATCTGCATATTGTTCCCAGGTTTGAGCAGTAATCATTGGTTTTTTAGGGTGTGTTTGGTATGAAGGAAAATGTTTTCCATGGAAAATGTTTTCCTAGAAAATGTTTTCTTGGAAAACAAGTTGATTTTTGACTTATTTTCTCATGTTTGGTTGGTGAGTAGAAAATATTTTCCGAAAAAGATTTTTAGTGTTTGATTTATGAATGAAAAATTTCTTTTATTTTTACTAGAGTAGAAAATAATTGTTGAAATTGAAAATATTTTTTTAAAATAAACTTAATTTTTTTTGGGGTGGGGCTGGTAAGGGTGGGGGATCGAGGGTAGGGGTGAAAAATTGAAATTTGAAGTTAAAATATTTTTTAAAAAACAAACTTAAAATTTTTTGGGGTGGGGCTGGTAAGGGTGGGGGATCGAGGGTAGGGGTGAAAAATTGAAATTTGAAGTTAAAATATTTTTTAAAAAACAAACTTAAAATTTTTTGGGGTGGGGCTGGTAAGGGTGGGGGATCGAGGGTAGGGGTGAAAAATTGAAATTTGAAGTTAAAATATTTTTTAAAAAACAAACTTAAAATTTTTTGGGGTGGGGCTGGTAGTGGGTGGGGTGCGGGGGTCGAGGGTAGGGGTGAAAAAATAAAATTTTGAAGTCGAAAATATTTTTTAAAAACTAACTGTATTCTACCAGCGAATGAAAGTTTCTTTGCTGTCCATGACGATATCCTCTTAATGATTTTCTCGATTAGAGGTTGCCATTGCCCTAATGTAGTCTTCTTAGTGGACAACGGTATTCCCAGGTATAATGGTAAGTCTCCAATTTCAAATCCAAGATGTTGAAGTATTTTGTTCCTCTCTGTTGGAGCTACTCTTCCAAAGTAGACAGAGCGTTTGCTCATATTTGCCTGAAGACCAGATGCGTGTGAGAACTTGAGGAAGCATTTGTATAAGGCTGTAACAGATGGGAGGTCTCCTCTTGCAAATAGGAGCAGGTCGTCAGCAAAGCTCAGGCGTGTAATTTCCATCTTGGAGCATCTTGGGTGGAATCTGAAAGTATTTTCGTCTTTGAGGTTGTTTAGATTCCTACTCAGGTATTCCATCACTATGGCAAATAAAAAGGGGGAAATTGGGTCCAATTGCCTTAGTCCTTTTGCTGCATTGAACGGCTTTGTAGTCTCCCCATTTATCAACACGGAATAGTTAACAGTCTTAATACATTGCATCAACCACCCCCTGAACTTAAGGTGAAAGTCTAGGCTCTCTAGGATTTGCTCTAAGTATATCCACTCCACTAAATCATACGCATGCATCGATCAGAAATGTGTTTCCTAGTGTAAGCTTTAACAAGCTCATGAGCTTTAAGGGTATTGTCTGAAATTCGTCTCCCAGGAATGAATCCAGATTAGGCTTCACAGATGATAGAGGCTATGACTTCCGGTAACCTAGCTGGCAGGACTTTGGAGATCAACTTGTATAATAAAGTGCAACAGGCTATAGGTCTATAGTCTTTCACTGTCGTAGGATTGTCAACTTTAGGCACTAAAGTAATAGTAGTGCAATTTACGGCACTGAATAATTTTCCTGTGTGAAACAACTCTTTAACAGCTAACATCACATCATTGTGGATTACTGGCCATGCTTTTTTGAAGAAATATACATCGAAACCATCATGCCAGGTGCTTTGTCATCATCAATACCATAGAGGCTGTCTAGAATCTCTTGATCAGTGACTTCGGTATGTAAACTAGTTTGTTGCGCTATAGTAAGTGTAGGTCCTCTTCTCATCACCAATTGGTCTATTGCTGGTAATACAATGGCTGTAGAACCCATAAGACTCATGTAGAGATCTACTATTTCTCTCTGTATGTCTCCTGACAGCGCCATAATTTCAGATATTTGTTTCCTCTGGGTCCTTTCCTTCATAACAGCAGAGAAATACTTGGTGTTGGAATCTCCAAGCTTAATCCACCTTGCTCTAGACTTTTGCTTCACGATGTTCTCTTATATCAAAGACCACTTTTCTAGATTCTGGAGGATAGTCTTTTCGACATTGATCAGCCCATTGCTACATTGCCTAGTAAATTGTGCTTGGACTACCTTCAACTCTATCCTGACATTGTCAATTTGTTGCCTCACATTCTTGAATTCTCTGTTATTCTGCTTCTTGAGTAATGGCTTGAGTGCCCTTAGCTTAAGCCATACATTCTTCATACTCTATTGGTCCTTTTGTTATCTCCATACTTCATTGACTATAGGAAAGAATTCTTCATGATCAACTAGGACATTGAAGAATCTGAACGGAGTCTTGTTAACTTGGGGTGCTGTGTGTAATTTAAGAACCATGGGGGAGTGGTCAGAGATCATGGGCAAGTCATACTCAACCTGCACATACATATCCCCAGTTCATCATCCAGTCAAAATTTCCAAGAGCCCTATCCAGTCTACTCCATATTCTATTAGCCCCTGGTTGCTTGTTTGTCCAGGTGAAAAATTCTTCTTTCTAAGATAGTTCATTTAGGGATAAGCGTTGTACAGAGGCAGAAAAATCCTGTATTTCACCCTGAGTCACAGGATTACCCATTAGTCTGTCCTTTGGCGATAATACAGCATTGAAATCACCCCCACAACAACCAAGGTTTATTTACCGTTTGTCCAATTCTACGTAGTTCCAGCCACATTGACTTCCTTTGTTCTAGATTGTTAAAGCCATATATGATAGTGACTACGACTTCAAACCCATCAGTTCTTCCTTTCACTAAGCAATGTAAGAATTGGGCCTCCTCTTCAATCTGTATAACATCATACCATCGTGGATTCCATAGGATATATACCCGCCCATTCGCTGCCATTGATTTCATACTAATGTATAGAAGTGTAGGAACTATTTTGTAACAAATTTTACTTCTATTGGCAGGATGGGATAAGGAAATGGAGGGTATTTGACTCCCTTTGTCATGACTTTATTGTGGCATTGGCAAATGAGTTTTTGATCCACTGGAGGCTGGAGCTATGTAACCCGTACCCACAAAACGAAAGCTCTGTTCACATATGGTAAGGTTATGAGGACAAGTTCATTCCGGTTTAATTATAAAAATACGTAGCGCAAATGTTTCCTTGGATTCAGTATCATGAAGTTCCTGATGGTGGCCATTTACTTGTGTATGATACTGTTGTGTGTGAAGCTGTCTTAAAATCACTTTTGCTTGGGAAGATCCTCCACTGTACAAGCCTAAATTAGCTGACTGAGTATTAGTTCATTCATTGTACCCAAAGATGATCCCTGTAAGTTACTCCCTCCGTTTCAATTAGTTCGTCTTAACTTTTTATTCCGTTTAAACAGTCTCTTTCCCTTTTTGGCAACTCCATAATTTCAACTTTCCACGTGACATGATTAAGACCATAAGATTCAAAAATGAAAATGAACTTAGACAGAAGCATATATAGGCAGAAGAAAGAAGTAGAAAATGGTACTGTTTGTGTAAAACTATATGCCACTAGTATAGGGACAATGACAAGGATGACATACAAAGACAAAATCTTTCATGTGTTTCTCTAAAGAGGTCATGAGTACATACTACACTCTACTAAAAAAATAAAACTATCAATAATTCTGTGGATCGAACTTCTTGCAGAAGTCACTGCTGCCTTGCTGAAGAAAGAAATCTTGCGAAATACTGTGTCGAAGCATCAATTTAATGACATAGTTCACAACCGGATCCAAATCTCAGTTGTTTTCTCGAACTTCCCTAGCTTTACATCTCAGTTTTTGCAATACAATAGCTCTGAATTCTTCTGCAGTTAGAGATTCCTCATCCAGACAGGCCTTATTATAGGCTGGTGCTTGTCTTGTTATTTTTTCAGTTCTCTTTACAATCTTTTCTATTTGCTGTCTCATGGTTTTTCTATATTCTTCCTCCTCTTTCCGAGCGAGGGCCAGTGTTTTTGGGTTGGTGGCATGTTCCCGTGCCTCCAAGTCCTCCATCATCTTCATTTTTTTGTACATCCCTGTAAAAGAAAAAAAGCATGTAAGGTGATGTGCTAGAATGTTGCTTATAGGAAAACAACAAAAATATAGCTCAATACATTTTTTAATTTCCAATGACACCAAAAATATCCAATTATAGGATAGACAGCAGAGAACACTGTTAAATTAGGTCTTAGGACTAACTCACACCCCAAAAGCTAGCTCAAAGGAAGGAGGATTGCCCAAGCCTTATAAGGAGTCCACCCATCTCATTAACCACCGATGTGGACTTTTGTCATTCTTTAACACCCCACCTCACGCCCAGTGCTTAACATCTGGTGCGTGGGCAATTTTGATTTTGGGGGTCCCAATATCGGGTGAGACGGGCCCTGCTCTGATACCATGTTAAAATCAACACATTGTGATGCTAGACAATCAAATTCCTCCATTGATGAACATCAAGTTCATATGAGAAAGGAAGAAGAAAGTTCTGGAAGAACTAAAGGGAAAATAAACTGTTTTATTGAATGGAAAATTAAGTGGTAATTGTTACATGTGACTCTGTATATATAGATACACGAATTGTAAGCTAGCTAACCAACTTATGCAAAATCTGACTTTCTGTAACCAACTCTTACTAACTAACTCTGTGAAGCAGTAACAGTGCTAACTAACTCTGTGAACTTTAACTAACTAACTTACTAACTTGTATTTCATCAGGCCTAAGATCTAATTTAACATGGTATCAGAGCACAGGGCATAGATCCTGTTTCCTTTCCGCATCTATAACAGTTTGTGAGCTTCAATTCTCAAAGAGTTTTTTTTCGAGTTTTTTTTGCTGTTTCAATTTTGAGTTTCAGTTGTTGTTCCTCAAATTGAATTTGTTTCTCGATCTCCTTTCGATATGGTTGATCAACAAGTTGATCCAAGTCCAAGTGGTTCTACATCCACGGTTAGGATTGAGATTCCTAGTCCTTTCTATCTACACCCTTCCGAGAATGCAGGTTCATCTCTATTGCCTGGAGTTTTCGATGGTACTGGTTATAGATCTTGGAGGAGAGCTGTTCTTAGGGCCTTGTCAGTTAAGAGCAAGACAGGTTTTATCAATGGGAAAGTTGTGAAACCAAATCCAGATGATCCTAGCTTCCAGCAGTGGGAGAGGTGTGATGATATGGTAACCTCTTGGATTTTGAATTCCTTGTCACCAGATCTAAGGGATAGTCTGCAGTACGTTAACAATGCACAGGAATTGTGGGCTGAATAGGAAGAAAGGTATGATCAGACTAATGGCTGTAAGCTATACCAGCTTCAAAAGGAGCTAAATGATCTTGTCCAAGGCACCTTGGATGTTACTGGATACTACACAAAGATAGAAGAAACTTTGGGAAGAGATGAGCATGTTGATGTAAGCTCTCAATGTAGTTGTGTTTGCACTTGTGGTGGTAAGATAAGGTTGGTCAAAGCTGAACAAGATAGAAGACTCATACAATTCTTGATGGGACTGAATGAAATGTACACTGTCATCAGAGGAAACATTCTCATGATGAGTACCCTGCCTAGTATGGCACAAGCTTTTGCCATTTTGTCTCAAGAGGAAAAATAGAGGGAAGTAAGACCTCACAACCACACAGCTTTGGACTCAACTTCACTGAATACTCTTGCCAGTAGTACAGGATCTAAGGGAGGCCCTAGAACAAACTACAATTCCTCTAAAGGGAGCACAAGAGTCTCTGGGAATTTGAATAACACAAATGTGTTTAGAGGTAATTCTAGCACTAGCAGGAGTTCCTTGTTTTGTGATTTCTGCAGGAGAACAGGTCACACAAGAGAAAGATGCTACAAACTTCATGGATATCCGTCCACCTCGAAGTTTTCCAAGGGGAAGAGTGTTGGTTCTGCAGCAAATATGTGCACCTCTGAGAGTGATAGGAACCACTGTGAAGAGGACCCTGAGTTGAGGAAACAAATGCCTTTGAACTTGTCCAAAGATCAGTATGAACAACTGCTCAATCTTTTGGGATCCCTGCAGGTTAGACATGGAGCTCCTAGCTCAGACAACATGCTAAGTGGAGCTGTGAATCTGGCAAGTATACTTGCTTGTTACTCTTCCATTACTGAGATAGGTGATCTTTCTTGTAGATGTGTAAAATTAACTGCTGACTCTTGGATCATAGACTCGGGAGCATCACATCACATGACCTACAATAAAAACACTCTCACAAACATTA